GCGAGAGGTTTCGGTTGTGTCGGCGTCGCGTTTGGTCCTCCGACCACAGACGACGCCGCCGGACTGTATGCCCTCATTAGTTGTCCTCCTCGTGGCAGAGTGCTGCTTCCTCCGACGTAGTATCCGCTATTCCCGGAAGTCGAGTTTTTCGCCGTCTGAAACGAAAATAGTAATGTCATTGAAGTTTTCTTATTTTTTTACGAATCTTAAGCTCGTATGTAAAATTTGATATTTATCATGTTTGATAATAAATTTAAGATAATTTGTAAAAGTAATTTCACTGATACGTATGTAATTATCATTTAATTTTCTGGGTAAAGTATTTTAAGTCACATTCTTTTAAGATTTAAGATTTAAGATAGTCGTGATACAACTAGATTAGATTAGGTTAGGTTAAAGTGTGAATAAGATTGCATAAATCGTTTCTCGCGTTATTTATCTACAATCTAAACGTATGTGCTATAAATTGCAATTAAAAACGAAACGGTAATGATACATATTTATTAAGTGAAATTATTAAAAATTTTAATTCTTGTTGCAATTGTTTGTTGTTTCGATAAAAGATAAGTAATGTGTTAATGTATTTACTTAGTTTCAGAATATATATTTATATACATGTAATGAATATTAGAAAGCACAAAGTTGTATATAAAAATTCAAGCGTATAACGATTTTTCGAGCATGTTTTTTTTTATTTGAAATTTGATTTATAGAAACGCGGCTCGAGAGAAAACGTATGAAAAAAGAAAAAGAAAGGAGGAGAACGCACGAGTTACGATGTCGTTTCATGTTAGTGGCAATGAAAATGATACAGATCAAGGCGAATTCAGATATTACGTTTTATATTCAGGCACGGTTTGCGGTGACGCGACGTCGATTTCATGCTGATTTTACGAATCATAAAAAGACTCGAGGATTTTCACATCACGAATAGATCCCCTCGTAGAAATAATGTTCCATGCAACGAGAAGAAATTATATAAAGACTTTAAAAAAATTTAAGCACGCGCATTTCTTAAATACTTTTATAACAAATTGCGTTGAAAGCCTTATAAATTTCCATCATTACGCTTGTCAAGATCAAAAAAAATACCAGCAAGATTTCGAAATTTTCTACTTCTTCTCGTAAATTTTGTTAAAATATCCAACACTTATGTTTCATTTAAAAAAAAGTTTCGTAATTATCACTCAACTATCAAATCGAATAGAAATATCTAGATATATAATCATGAATTCGTTATAATATAACGAGATATAGGATTTCAAGCTATTCTCACTACGCTTTCTTATATTATTCATTCATAGTCACAAAAGTCGAAGTTATTTATGATTTCTACAATAATATTTAATATTATTATTTAATTATTATTGAATTGCCAAAACAAGAAAAAAACAAATTTTCTATTTTTTCAATTATTATTAAGTTTACAAATATTCTCTATTTTATTTTACCTTATTCTGACTCTCTATTTAACGTCACATGCACAATAATGACCCTAAACCGGTGTCAAGTAACACTAGTCAATTATTAGAGATAACTTTTCGGATATATAGCCACGAATGTACCCGACCAATTCCGAACAATCCCGAACAATCCCGAGCAGTGTTGAACTATGGCAAACAGTGGCCATAGATCAAAACATAACCACACAATTAACTTCTACAATCGAACGAAAATGATTTTCATTCTACATACGTTTGATCAATGATTGGGAGAGTGGCGAATTGGCAAATCAATCTTAAATTCCGTTACAAATTCTAATTACATGTTCGATCAATTCTTTTTTTTTTCCAGAATACGAACTAACATCGATTTTTCCTCGATCGTATCGTCGAACAATTGAATTCTTGTTAACTATATAAGAATGAATAACACATCGGAACTTGCGAAGAGGCAATCTTCAAAAATTACTTCAAGTCAAAATCAAACGATTCGTCAAGTGGCAAGTCTCCTCCCTCTTTACCAATCCTGCTTACGAGGCCGTGCTCGCCCACTTTGCCACCAGCCTTGTTTAGTGTTCTTTACTCCCGTCGACTGTTCGCCGCACCGGCATCGTTTCTCCTTCTCGAGTTTCAACGCATGGCAAAACGGAATTCCACTTTCCATCCGAAAGGAAATTAAAGGAAATATTATTTGCCAGATTCGAAAATTTATCAAGAAAAAAAAATATAGAAAAAGAAATAGGATAGGGATGAACGAATCAAGATGGAAAAATTATCGAATATTATTCACGAACGTACGATCAATCCTGCTCGTTTGATTTTGCTGTGTCTAGTCATTCTTTGCTGGGGCAAATCAACATTTGGGGAAAAGAAGCTACATGGAACTCCTATGCACAAGGTGGAACTCACTCAGAAAGGATACATTCAGGTAAGAAATTACCCAATTATCATCGACGAGATAATTCATAATTCTATCCATGTTTGCACGTTCTTCGTTTTTTTTTAGTCAAATAATAAAATAGGGTTTTTAGATATGTGCAAAATCCTCGAAGATCCCCTAACTTGGTAATGAATCTATTTTCTCCGAGTATCTATTTTTGGCGTATCCGTGCATCGCCCTCGTCATTATCGATTATTCAAGAACGTAGAACTAATCCATTCTACCAGTTACAGTCTCTACCTTTAACAGTCTCGCATTACTTAATCCCGTATACTTAATCGTATATTTAACGTATACTTAATTGATTAAGCGCGTGTCGCAAAAGTGGAATTCGAATTCGTTAAAAATCCACCTCAATTGTGAAAACTTAATTAATCCTAAGATAAAAAATAATCCATTCTCATACTCTTCTCATCATCAGTTTCTACGTTGGGAGTTACCCGTACCAAAATTCACCGAATTCACCTTCTGCCTGTGGATGGAATCCTACGATCTGACCCATCCTCATCCGATATTTTCGTACTCGAGTAAGTAAATAATTTCTACCATAAGAACATGCAACACGTAACGTAAAAGTGTAAACGGCCTCGTGATTATATCCTTCAAAGGCGTACACTTTTATTACTCAAACGCGAAGAAAGTAGCCATGAAAAGTATTTTCACCGCTACAAATAAGCGTTTCGTATCGGATCGCCTACATTTCCTTTTGAACAAACAGTCTTAAACCTGCTGTTGCGTTCGCTTCCCCAACAGAGAACGAGCGAGAACGGCTCGTACGATCGTGGATAGCGCCGCACGGGAGGAGTGTCCACCTCGAGATCGGGGGCAATAATGTATTCGCCGCAACTGTCGACATTCTAGAGAATCGATGGTACCATTTGTGCGTGAGCTGGGAGAATCAGGCTGGCCGTTACGGCCTTTGGATCAATGGTCAGCTTTGGGCTCAAGGTCGCTCTTACGAGGTTCGTTGTATTTAAAAAATAAATAAATAAATAAATAAATAAATCAACGTTAAATCGATCGATCGATTTCAGACGATAGATCACACGATCCCAAGCGGAGGAGACATCGTGGTGGGTCAAGAGTACACCGACTTCGACGAAGGGCTCGACGACGGGATCGAGGGATCGATCCTCGGCTTCAATCTGCTCTTGGCCTCCGCTTTCGACACCCTTCTGGACACGGGCGACTACCGGCAACGATTCGAGGAGGCCTCCCACGATTCGAGTCAAGTGTCCCGCTCCGCCTCGAGTTACGCCACGGTTCCGCTTTTTGCCAGGATTCCGACGAAACTGATGCAACGCGGCATCGATTATAGGATTGCAACGAGAACGAGGGCACCGTACACGCTCCCGCCAACTTCTGATCAACTTGGGGGACGACGACGATACGCCGAGGACGCGACGTCTTTGCCGCTCGGAACGGGATTGATGATCTTCTCTCCACGCGTGATCCAGGGGAGGATCGAGGTATCCAAGTGGAAAAAGCAATCTCTCGGGTTGCAATTGGTGAAACTGTCGTATGTACGCTGCGAGATCGGCAGGGGAAGCCCGTTCATAGGCGGATCGTTGATGCTGATCTCGTGGACCAGAACACCCGTGCGTATTTTCGGTGGGGCAGTTCTGAAGAACGTCAACAGCGACTGTGGCAACTTCTCGACTGTTCTCGATTGAGGAAGAGGAGGAAGATAGCCTCGAGGCTATACTAAGATATTGTTTACCAGCGCCACCAAATCTGATAAAAATTTGTCTGAATTAATAATACGTGTATTTTGAATTCGAAAGAGAAAGCGCGTTCTTTTTTATCGATGTTAATTAAATTGAATTAAAGTGAAATTTTTTTCTATTGGATTGTGGATATACGTGTGGATATAGTTTAAATGATTGGACAGACAGTATCTCCGTGGACCTTTAATCGAATTTCGCGAGAGAAACGTGAGAATACGGGTCGTTACGACATGCATAGAAATCGGATAGAAATCGGAAAGTGACGAGCGGGGCCTTTCTTTCGATGGATGAACATTCGTTGCGTTACGAATGCAGGATTAACAAATTGGAGCGAATTATTATGAAAGTGCGATGTTAGGATAAGATCTAATGGTATTTAATGGTTTTTATACCAATATATTTTATATATTGTTTTATATAAATTATAAATAGCAATTTCTGCAAACGACTCTCTCCAGGAACTAAAACCGGATAAGCTTCTTTTATTTAATTATTCTCCGTCTATTTCATACTTTTACTCGCATTAGACAAAGTATTGTAGATATCCTAAAACAAGTTCCTTTATATTCAATCATAAAATTAAATACTTGACATTCCGCGAAAATATTTATTAAATTATTTTTTATCAATATATCATTTTTATTGAGGACCATTAAAATAAAAAATTCAGATATACATTAAAATGATTGATAGAATAAAAATTATTCGAATATGTATATCTTATGGCTAAATATCATAAGAGTAACGACGATTCGAGATAACTAAGAATGGCGCCAAGAGTCAATCGAGTTTCGGTTATTTTCGACTAACGTCGGTAAATTAGTCGAAGATGACCGAAGGTGACCGAACATGACCGAAGATGATTGGCTTTTGTACCGAAGATTCTTGGCTGCCTCGTTACAACATTAAATTCATAACATGTCGAAGTACTCGAATAGTTTTTATACGATATACATACAAAATTGTTTTCATCGAGTCTCGAGATCATACATTAAGTAACGATTAGATAATCCTATTAGCAGCTATTTGTTGATGAAAGACATCGCTATTGTTTCGATTCTCACTTAATAGTTTAAGATAAAATCTAAGCATACCGGCACGAAGTGCAACAACTTGCCGCAATCTTGAAAAAACTCGAGAGAACAAACGCGTTACAAAACAGAGGATAGATCGATAAACCGAGACGAGGCAAAAAAAAAAAAGAGGTTAGAATAACTTTTTACGCGCAATATGAAACTTATGTCAAGAATAGATAACGCGATCGAAATGCGGATAAACATACCAAGTGCACGTACGTACAAAAAATTGACATTTCTTTCCTAGATTTCTTTTCTTAATTCTTTCGAGAAAAATGTATTCCTAATTTCGTTTTATTTTTTTAATATCAATTTAATGAAATCTATTTAAACATAGAATCTTTGCATATTTTATATTCTTTAATTTATTCTTATATTATCATGTTCATTTTTTAAAAAAATTCATCTCGAAAAAACTTAACAATTATAAACATTTTTGTCGAAATTACCGCAAAAAATTTCCAATTGGAGACAATGCCACGCGTTGTAACCACGTAGAATGAAACGAGACGAAATGAAACGACATTACATATATCGATGAAACAGTTTCGTAACTTTTGTTACGAGTTATGCGTCGTTATGCATAGTCTCTGGATCCATGAATCCATTTAGGGTAAACAGGTTTCTTTTTCTTACGTGATCTTAGATGCTCGTTTAATCTTTTTTAGAAAACCGGCAAATAGATTTTGTTTCGAGAACCAGTATACAAATAAAAATGGTCCGTTGCTGAAATAAAATACCGAGAAATGCCGAATCGTATTTCGGACGTTTTCGGCTATCATCGGTAAATTAACCGAAGATGACCGAAAGATGATCGGCTCGTGTCGAGACTTCGGAAGTTACGTGTAATAAAATACATTACTGATTATTTAAATTATCCAAAAAATCCGTCTCTTTTTTAAAATTAAGCTACAAAAACAATATGAAATGGGTCGATATAATTTAGTTACCTTTTACCTCGCTAATAATAATCAAAAAATATATTATACGTTGTAAAAAAAACAAATGAATAGTTACGCAACGCGACAACTTTATGTTCGTTTGGTAAAATCGGATTTGTTTGGAATATATCTTCAAAACTTTCACCGGTCAGAGATTTAGCATTTCCCAATACTTGATTACGAGAAATTGAAAATCGTTTTGTTCGTACGTTGATCGTGCGTTGAACTCGTTTAACAGCATAGATTTCGACCCTGAAACTGCGAAACCTTGTCCGTGTTTTGCATTTATGATCCAAGTGCATAAACCATTTGCAAGGGTTGCGTGACGGCCACGCCAAGAATCGACCGCGCCTGACATCATCGTCTTCGCTGCTAAGGAAGTAAACTTTGGTTTCACCGGTTCCGACCTGTTCACCGAATTGCTTTCACTTTCACCGAAAATCGCGTGGTCAGGTTTCACGGGCCGCTCTCGACCCTTTTTAACGGTCTCGGTCACGTAATACATCCGACGTTACGAAGCGCGCGTTTCGTTCCAGAAAACGATCAGCTCAATAAATCTCGCTGACGCGTTCTGAACTATAGAAATGGATTAAAGTGTATTTTTTATTAATAAGCTAATTTTTATTATTTACCTTTTTTAATATACATAGTTATTAATTGATATTTTTTTTATGTGTCATTTTGAAGCTATGCGATAATTGAATTTATTATTATATTTAAAATAAAATTTATATCTTTTCAAATTTATAAGTTTTTTATGTAAATTAATTTATAGTCCAAATAAATAGCAATAATTTTATTTTGAGAACTGTTATTCAGCAAAAATTATATGATATTTGTAAATACTTCTTTACTTTTCCTAATTTGAGATGAATAAAAAAAATATCTCACATAATCTCGCTATAATCGACATTCTGAAGTAATACTTATTTTACGTCACACAAAATATTTTCAAACTAAATAGTTGAGACTATTTTTTTCTAACATGGCGTAATAAAAACATGTAACAATTTTTTCATTCGATCAAGCGTTTTCCGTTTACCATAAGATTCTACTTGTTTTCTTCCTGCTCGCCGATTTAGTTCTCTCGAATAGATTGCATCGTCGTAATCGAAAGTCAATTTTACGACTATCATCTAGTTATATAGATAGAATAACTTCGATAGAAAATCGAAACTAAATCCCGTATACATCGATTTACATAACCACGAAAGATGGTTACGAAATAATTACGCACAGTTAAAGCGCGCCCAGCTGCGAAAAACTGAACTAAAACCTTGCAAAAAGAATTATGAAAGATGGCGACACCATAGATATATATATATATATCTAGGTTAAAAATGAACGGTGATTGCCTTCTAGCATAATAATCGATCGTTTTTAACGATGAGAGGACCCTTTTGTCTCGATTCCATTCCAATTGTCGTGTTGAGTCAAGATTCAATGATGCACTCTTGAAAATGGCAGGACTCTGGAAAGACATTCATACGAGGCAACAACTACATACGATTCACGGTCATTACCGACGAACGTGGACGAACAACAGCCGAATAGCTAGCTCGAATGCAGAGTTAAATTATACCAGTCTCTTTTAGTAAGCGAAACAATTATACGGATTCTTGAACGTATGGTATTTCTCGGATAATAGACGCAATTTTCACCATATTTAATTGACGTCCTCCATCAGTAAACTATTTTGATAAATCGATTTCTAATTATCGTTAACAATATTAAAATAGGGAAAATAAATTTTTTATATTTTTTTTTTAGAAAAATTGAATTGTTTTCTATTTTACTTATAATCATTGTTTTTCTTGCTTCTTCAAAAAAGAAAAATTCCTAAAAAAATAAGTAGACACTAATCTCGTGTGATTAATCACGAGATGATTAATCTAAAAAAATCATGATTAATCTAAAAAAAAGTATCTAACGTTATAATAAGTTTTTTTTTTTTTAGACAGAAATTAACCAGTGCTAAAAACGAGTAAATCAGTGACCTCGATCTTGCACTCTCCTCGTAAACGCGGAATACTGTAATTTTCCAACATTCCACAAACCAAGCTTTCTTTGAATCGTCCATCATCGTAGCACTTTTTCCAGGCGACGAATGTTTCTACAACGCAATCGTGTTTCTGCATCGTTGCAATTACACGCAGAATCGACTTTCATTTTCCAGGGTGAGTCGTCCTTTCGCCGTGCCCCGCTCCTTCCTTCCGGTCTTCTGGACGGAGAAAGGGGACGTCGGAAAGGAGAATTCATGTTTCGAGAGGGACAAAGACGGACCCGAAATACATTGGAAAGAGAGAGTGGATGATTGAGAAGGGAAGTCTATGTCATGAATTCTTTTTTCAAGAGACGTCCTCTTACATTCTATATTGACATCCATTTAGTAATGGGATCGAGTCTGATACGAAAGAATAGTCAATTTTTAAAATAGTATAG